AAAAAAAAAAAACCTCCTGAAAAACTGAATGGCTAACTTTGACTGTTATGTACTCTTATCTAAACTTTTAAAACTTATGAAGGGGGCACCATATGTATTGATTCAGCATTCTGCTTCCTAGAGAGCTGAGACAAGAATTGAAAGTAAATGTGAATTCTATATTGGAGAAGCTACTGTCCGTAGAGACAAGGAAGTACTGTTCAATTGTAAAAGGCATCAGTAAGACTAGTTTAGAATATCTGTGGCATGATTTAGGGTTTTTTTTTTTTTTTTAAGATTTTTTCCATAAGGTACTTTGGGGCTGTAGGTGGGGTGTGTGTAGAGAACTACAGTAAATAGTTTCTAGGATGCTGGCTGAATGGCTGCCTCTGAGTGCAGGGGACTGGACTTCATAGTCTAGAGCAGTAATCTTAAACCTTTTTTCACTTGAAATTTCTGAAGGGGTCAGCAAGTGGAGGTGCAGACCCCTTTGAATTGTAAGTGTGGTTATTCACATGCTTTTGATCATACTCATTTTTTGCAGACTCCTTACACATGGTCTGCTGATCCCCATGGGTCCGTGGACCATAATTTGAAAACCACTGTTCTAGGAACACCTTTCCTGGCATGTGTGTGTAGTTTTTTTTTTTTTTTTTTTTTCCAAGGAAATGTGAATACTGTTGTTTGAAAGAACTAGCACTTATTTTTATGCATAAGAATTTCCCCCCCATAGCCAATACTCTATTCTTCTTAAAATCTAACTCTGTCATGGTCCTTAAATCAGGGTTACAAGTAACAGCATATGGGCTAAGAGTTCATTTTCTACTGAACTCCAGTTACTTGCGATATGTACTTATCTGGTGGACTTAATCTGCCAAAACCTGTATCTTTCAACTTTTCTAGACATGTTCTAAATCTCATCTTGTTTTCTGACCATTGGTTATCACATGGGTTGTTTTACCCTATACTAAGCAAGTCTGGTGGTAGGCTTAGTTCATGTAAAAGTCCTAGTCCTGAGCTGGGCAGGCAGTTCTTTCCTGGAGGCTGATGTGTTCCTGAGCAGGCTACAGAGGGTGAGAGTCTCCTGATGGGCATCAAGAAAGCTTGTGGGTAATATAGCCTTATGGCTGGGGTAACACTGTTAGTTTAGGGTGGGACTAAAGAGAGGTAGAGGTCCAGCAATTGGCGTTTTGGGAGTAGGGTGTGGAGATATGGGGAAGGAGTAGGGCCAGAGGCCTGTAAGTTAAAGGCCAGAGCCTGGGAGCAGGGCAAAGAAGGGGTTGTGGATCCCAGGGCCCAGAGGGGGGCTGAGATGAGGCTAGAGAGCCCAGGACCCATGGAGGTGCTGAGTGAGGGGGACTGGGGTCAAGGGCCCATTAGATTGATTGATGATAATGTTAATTGGTAACATCTGAGGCATGGTTATAACTAAAAGGGGAGATGAGGAGACCACAACATTGCCTTTAAGGCAGTGAGCAGTTAGACCATGGCTTGTGTGCAAATGAGACCTTGCTCAGGGATCCCTGGGCAGCCTTCTGTTTTCTAAATGCAAGTTAACATCAAGGAATGCAGGACTCTCTTTAATCCAAGTGTTTAATATAAAATGTATTTAAACAAGTTCTGCTTAGAGCAGAATCAAAGACTCCTTGCCTTAGGCCAGTACAGGCAGTCCTCAACTTACAATATTTTGAGTTGCAATGAATGGCACTTACAACTTTTATAAATACCCTGTTTTGAGTTTCTGATGTCAGGCCAGTGAACAAGTTTGCTCCATTGTCCTGGACACCATCTGTCCAAATTCCTTGGACACTTTCTTTAAGAAAGCAGCCAAGACTCCTACCAAGATCCCCTTCAAAAAGTCTAGCAAAGTCCCCTCGAAGTCCTTCCAAATTGATATGATTGCTGTTTACAATATAAATACCTTATGTAGCTATATTACTTGCCTATAATTGAGTACAAAATTCTGGGTTATTTTGGGTGAAAATAGGGTATCAGGCCTTGGTTCAGGAACCAATCCCCCATTCATAACATGGTTCCTATGGGAAAATCGGTTCTGAGTTGCATTTCAACCTAAGACGGTTTTCAGGAACCAGTTGTTGTGTTACAAGTCCAAGGACTGCTTGTGTCCCAACAAATAGGACAGTGCCCGATCCTCCTCTTGGTCCCTTCTGGGCTTTAGGAATCTTGTTTTCCTTTCCACACAGTGCAGAAGAGCTGTTCTAGTTATAGTCTGCTTTAACAGTCTCTTGGTGGATGCCATGGCTGCCATTTAAAGGGTGTGCTCTGTTCACTTTCTTGAAAGTGCCAGATGCTAAGGTTTTTGGGTGCTAGATACCAGTTGCTAACAAGTGTAAACTGAAAATGTGCAGGATTTTGGGTGCTCTTACTCTCTGCTCACTGTGCTGACTGTTCTGGATCATCTGTGGGTTTCTTGCTTACCCTCTTTCCTCCTCCTCCCTGCCCACCTGTGCTGTATGGGGGCCTAGGCTACTGAGTTGTTTGTTTGTTTGTTTGTTTGTTTGTTTGTTTGTTTGTTTGTTTGTTTGTTTGTTTGTTTGTTTGTTTGTTTGTTTGTTTGTTTGTGAGGGGCAGCAACTTGGGCTTTGCAATGCTTAATGCTCTCAGGTTCTCTAGTGGGAGCAGTCCAGAGTATTTGATCAGTATAGGTGTCTGTAGATGTGCTGGGAAGCTCTCTGATATGCTGTAATTACAACATGTCTGAGCAGCCTCGATTAATTGATTCTGCTGGAATGTGCTAATTAGTACATTCCAGCCAGGCTCCTGCATCTTGTGCACCAGTGTCCCTGCTAAGTAAGCTTTAGTTAAAATGCCCCATTTTGAAGTGTGGGGATGTTGATACATGAGATGCTGTGGGCATTTTAATTAGAGGTGCTCTCAGAATTGCTGTGATTTTTAAAGAGCGTGCCCTCCTTGCGCACAGAAAGAAGAAAAAAAGCAAACCAAAAAACCCAGAGCATGTGGGGAAAAATGCCCTATGCGCTAAACTATGAGTTAAGGACATTTTTTGTATTTTAATATATACTTTTATATTGTGTGTGTGTGTGTGTGTGTGTGTGTGTGTGTGTGTACACTTAAAATGCTTTCTGAAACTTGCTGTAAAATATTAAGCATGTAAAATGTAGATTTATTTAACT